CCCTCGGCGGGAGCGCCACCGCGCTCCCAAGCGGCGCACTGTAGCAGTGCGCCACCGGGCCGGCCCCCTCCCTCCCTTCTTAATACCGTTCTTCATCTTAACACTGTAGGAACATTGAATTCACCTATGGGGAGTTCAAAACAAAACTCACAATTTCAAAAATGCTGTCTTTGCAGCCTATTAAATCCAAAAATATTACATATGAAGATTTAAGATATTTAGCTCAAGTTTTGAAATATCTCTGCTACCTATTCTACAAATAATGCTGTATTTGAGGATTTGTATTAAATATACCTCTTAGGACAGGAACTACCAATTTTTATTTGTAGAATATGAATAGAATGTTGACAGAAGCTCAGATCTAGCATCATTTATTATGAGAAAATCACAGAAAATGTCATTTGTCCCCTTAAAGCTACTTTACATATTCCCTATCTTTTGGGTTTTGACCCAAAGTCAGAGACATCTGTGACAATAAAGAAGAACTAAGATTCTTAACTTTTTGAAATCATGTTAAAACTAAATGACAAACAATAAAAAATGTCAAAAGTACAAAGTAGGCATACTGTTTATATCTTGAAGTCATTTAGTCTCTTTCAGTTGGGTAGTATGTGCTAAGTGTGGAGATTGTCATCTTTAAGGACTCAATTGAAAATGTCCTTGCACACTGATCACACTCTGTTTAGGAAAGTTTACAGAAGTCCTTGTTTCATAGTGTCACCTATTTTGTCATATTAGACTTTAATGAATGGCTTACTGCCCGAAGTTTCAGAACATTATATTATATTTTATGAAAGTATACTTTATATTTCTTCTAGAGCAGAGGAAGGAAAACATTTTATATTTTAGGCATTCTAAATGTGATCTTAGAGCCAGACCGTGGCTCACTTGAAAGAGTGCGGTGCTGATAACACCAAGGCCACGGGTTTGGATTCCATATAGGGATGGCCGGTTGGCTCACTGGGTGAGCGTGGTGCTGACAACACCAAGCCAAGGGTTAAGATCCCCTGACTCGTCATCTTAAAAAAAATAAATAAATAAATAAATAAATAAATAAATGTGATCTCAATGTCTAACATGAAGAGAATGTTGCGTTGTACAATTTGGAGATATTTGATTTATGCTTTTTAAGAACTGCATTAATTTAGGAAATATTTTATATTAAATTGGATATTTAAAATCTATGGTTTAATATCTATAGTCTTTAAGCCTTAAATCCTGAACTCTAAATAATTATTACCCTCCACCCTCCCAGTCTGAATTTTTAAATGTCTTTAAAGTTATAAAAATGTTTTCTGTTTATTCTGAAAAACATAGAAAAGATAAAGAATAAAACAAAATGTACCCATAATTTCACAGCTGAGAGATAACTTCTGTACCCATTTGTTTTGATCTGAAGTATTAGAAAATGGGATTATTCTGTTGGATTAGACTGTATTTGTTTGGTAAATCCAGTTTTCTTATTTCCAACAGCCTGTATTTGTGACTACTTGGATATGGGTGATATTAAAGAGCATGGACTGGTATTACATCTTCACACATTAGTATCTGTGTGACTTTGGGCAAATTACTCCATCTCACTGCACCTTCTTTTCAAGGTTAAAGACTAAATGAGATAACAAGGTACACAGCACAGAGCCTGGATGATAGGCACTGTTGAATATTCTTATTTTTGTGTTTTTGGCATTGTTGTCATTGTGAAGTCTTTGGCCATCGAACAGCATAAAGGTGACTAGCCTTAGTAGAGGCTGAAAAGCATCAGAACTTTCCCCTACCCATTTGAAGTAGCTGGTCATAGAAGAAAAAGGCAAATAACCCGTTATAATTCTGGGCCAGCAGGAAGGCATGTTTGTCTGTCCTGTCTGAGAAGCCATCTCACAGGTAGCTTCAGACTTTGCAGTGAGGCAACTGCATGTGTGAATTTGGAAAGTTCATTGCTGTGCCTGCAATGTTAAACGGCAGCTTCTGACAGTCACTGAAATGCATAGTGGGGTCCCAAGGAACTGACTCATGACTTCCTGCTCCTCATTCAGTAACTAGATAGTCTCTATGTAAATGCTTGTGTCGCTTTAATAAATTATTACGGACGATAATAGCAATAGCTACCATTTACTGAGTGGTGACTATGTGACAGCTAAGAGCTTTTCCTGCATTTTCTTATTTAACCTTTCTGGCTACTCTGTGAGGCTGTTATTATCATCCCTATTTTATAGACGAGGAAACTAAGATTTAGAGAGTTTCAGTGTTATCCACTAAGAATTTGAATGCTTGTCTGCTTGACTGCAGAATCTGAGCTCGTAGCTTTACTTACAGCTCTACTGCTTTTGTTTCATAATTACTGCACGCCCTCATTCATTCATTCAACATCATTCGTTGAGGGCCTATTCTGCACCTAGTACTGTTATAAATGCTGCAATTATAGCACACAAAGACCCAGCTTCCTTAAGGCTTACATTTATTATGTGGGTATTTCCCTCCTAGAATGAGTGTTCGTATAAGGCAGTGACTGTCTTATTCTTGAATTTTAGGAATGTAACTGAAATTTTTATCTAAATACCTAAAGTATGAGCTGAGGAAAGGATTATTTCTATGAAAATATTGGAAGATAGGTCATGCCCAATTTTATTCATCTGGCTGTGTATTTAAACACTGGCTTTTAACCCTTTCAGACTCCTCAAATTGGAGATGTTCTTACTGATTATATTAGGAAGCATTTAGCTTTATTATTGTTAATGATAAAGCTACTTTTTGATATCTT